TGTTTGTTCATATTAACGTAGTGTAAACACCCTGCATCTCTATCTCGTCATCGCAGGTGTCCCCCGTAGCTACGAGCGTGCACAAATTAATATTAATATCGTTAATATTAACGTAGTAAACACCCTGTGTCTATATCTCGCTCTCTCTCCCAGGTGTCGCCCGTAGCTACGAGCGTGCACTACATGCAGACGACGGCCGACGGGCGCGTGCATGAGGTGGCGCCATCCGGCGGAGCTAACACGATTACCATCTCCACGGGCAAGCCCGTCGTCCACGAAGATGTCACCTTCACGGTCACGACCAACAAGCCGACGTCGACGCCCGTGACGTCGGCGACGGTCACCTCCAGCTCTCAGGTGAAGCGCAGCAGCATTGACGTACAGCAGGTGTACACGGAGACGGCGCACCTTTACTGAACGGCGGCCGACGATAGGTTAATTACAGGTGGTGCGTCAGGTGGAGTGTGTCAGGTGCGATGGGAGCCTCGTCGTTGTTGCTCTGTTGGCGTAAACCTCGTCGCTGTGTGAGCGAGTGTTAAAGCTGGGCCGTCCACCTTCGTACGTGTCCAGCGTCTTTATGCTGTGTCACCGAATGTTGGCGAATGTTGGCGAATGTTGGCGATTGTTGGCGAATGTTGGCGAGTGTCGGCGAATGTTAGTTAATGGTGCGAGCGTCCGTCGCGCGCCTATACCGTACCTGTACGTCCATGCTGTCACTACTTGACTGTAGGTGCATTGTAAATGTGCTGCTGCTTCCGACACCTTCGCACCTCGCATAGCCTGCCCATACTGAGCCGGGAGCACGAGTGGGGCATGTCAGACGTAGGCCTTCCATCCGTGCGTGCGTGCACAGTGTACGGTGTGCGTACACAGTGTATGATGTGCGTGCACAGTGTATAGTGTGCGTGCACAGTGTTCGGCGTGCGTGCACAGTGTATGACGTGCGTGCACAGTGTATGGTGTGCGTGCACAGTGTATAGTGTGCGTGCACAGTGTATGGTGTGCGTGCACAGTGTATGGTGTGCGTGCACAGTGTATGGTGTGCGTGCACAGTGTATGGTGTGCGTGCACAGTGTATGGTGTGCGTGCACAGTGTATGGTGTGCGTGCATAGCTCCGTCCGGCTGGCGATGTCAACAACGTGGCAAGAGACAGCGAATCAGTTGGTGACACGAGTCGGCGGTCGCACAGTGCGAGAGCGTATACACTCGTACGAACCGACACCATAATGTCACATCATCGGTTGTGTGGGAGCAAACTAGCAGTGCATTGAGTTAAGAACGCGCCTGTATGCAGTACGCGGCTAGTTCCTCTTACGTTAAAGTCATATGTCCGAGCGGAGATGCATCCCAGCTCGCCGGACCAGGCTAGGAATTCGGATCCTATACGGCTTACAGACTTCGTCCGCTAAGAATGTGATGTCTCGTAGTGAAAGATTGAACCAGAAATAAATACAGGGTACTGTTACCTAACCGGTACGTGTTACGTTACAAACGTGTATAACAGTCGGATGATAGGGGCTATGATGTACGTATAATGGCTACCGAAATAGAACCTATACTAGCAGCGGACCTAGGACTAGCCGCGAACCGTATATAGACAAATTTCCACATCGAACCCAACGACCTTTCTAATTGCCAATATGGGAATCAAATTTAATATTATGAACGCGCAAGTTTGTGAGCGCGAGGAAGGGGCATTGACGAAAATAATGCCATAACTGTTAGCAGTTTGTACATATACCCAAACCTCATTAGCAGTATTATGTAGTCTATATATATATACGTATCATCAAGAGCGTATTAAGTATGCTTAAGAGTATACTTAATACGCTCTTGGTATCATATAATTTACGGTACGAGCGCCAGTTGTTGTTTTCAAGTACAACTGGCGCGCGCGTTTACAAAGATAAGATGTCCGTCGCTTAAGAACGTAGACGTTAACAAGAGTTAATAATACATTAGTTAATACTTAATACAGGTATTATTAGCTCTTGTTAGGCTGTTATGCTGATTGAAAATAATATTTAGAAATTCGTGTCCGTCTGTCTACACGGCACCACTGCACAGCTAGCATTGCAGGTAGCCTATACACAGACGTAGCAGCAAATGGCGCCAGCCTCCCGTTGAAACCGCATATCAATAGCGACGACGTGATTTGTGAGATGAGTGTGAATCTATGATCTATATCGATAGTACGTTACACGGAAAGTGCATTAGAGGAATCTATTCATCGCGCCACTGCATATGATAACTGTATGGATGGTCACTTCCTGGAAGGATTGTATCGGGAGATTCTAATGCTGAACTATCGTGTGTAGGCGTGTTTGTGACTGACGTGAATTTCTATCCGCGTATCGTCGACGTCGTCGCCAGTGTCGTTGTCAGCGTCGGCGTTGTCGTCGCCGCCGCCGTCGTCGTCGTCGTCGTCGTCGTCGTCGTCGTCGTCGTCATTGCTGTTGATGTTACTGCTCTTGTTGTTGTTGTTGCTGCTGCTGCTGCTGTTGGTGGTGGTGGTGGTGCTGATGTTGTGGTTGTTGTTGCTGTTGTTGCTGTTGTCGCGGTTGTTGTTGGCGTTTCATGTGCTAAAAGCATTATCCGTGCAACAAGATTTGTTATGCTAACGTGTATTATTAATACCTAATGTGCTCATTTGTTTATGTGCTCGGAGAAGGGCGGCTGTCGTCTGCTTAATAGCCGGCCAACCCTCGCGAGAACCCGCGCGAACCCACCAGAATTATATCCGTGCGATGAGGAGGGTTACATTCGCGTCAGTTGCTGTGGCCAACCCACACTACTACAATAGCCCTTTTATTATTTGATGAAACTAATAAATACACGGGTTATTGGTACTACAAAAGCGTCGAAAATTCAGTATTGAAAGGTTCAGAACACTCAGACAAATTTCTTACTTTGTATTCTTTCGATATCTTGAATCCAATCACAGCTAGAGAGGGACCGAAAACGCTACAATTAGCCAAGCCATGCAAAAGGTCGCTATACACCCTCATTATGACTTTTTTTTCGTGTGTGTTTAAGTAAGTGACTGGAAGTGTAGATAGGCGTGCCGACAGACATTTGCGTAATGAATTACTTACTACTGACGTGCGTAGCAGTCAACTTGTTGCGTCGAATGTAATCGTCCGGAAAAGGCATTGACTTCCAATATGGCCTCGAGGTCTTGTCACGTTCTCCGCGAGGGGCCAACAGCGTGTGTGAATTCAGCGCCAATTTATCAGGTTGAGCTCGGCGGACGATGAACGCAGAACTGACGATGTACTAACTAGTAACTACCCAATGATACAATGACCCCGAATTCTTTGAATCGGTAATCGGTCGCTGCTGACTCTAGGCGGATGCAAAACCTATAAATGTCTGGTGGCAAGTATTCTATAGGATGATTGGAGGGTTATATACCCAGAAGTATCGAGCTTTTGCTGGGCAATCTGTCATATTTGTAAAAACGCGCGGAATCACAAGCACAATTCGTCTGCCTTCCGCCAGATTTTGTTATACACACAGGTTTTGTATTAGGCACAGGATACGTGGTAGCCGGTTGGACGATTTTACTTCGATGTACAAAGCGTTTTTGGTAACCGTAGGTCAGTTAACATCTGCACGTGTAATGTGGACGACTGATTTTTGTAACTTGGGATTTTTACGGTTAGACATATATTATTGACGTCACATTCCATGGCGTATTACTTGTGGCGGAAATACATTACGTTGTAAATTTTACAATTATACACAGCATTCTTATATGATTTCCTGTTCATTTTTTCGGTGTTCGAGCACATGTGTTCGTGTGTGTGCGTGCGCGCGCGTGTATGTTTGTGAGTGGGTGTGTGTGGGGGGGTGCGTACGTGTGTGTGGTGCGTGCGTGCGTGCGCGTCTGTGTGAGTTTGTATCAGCTTAAGCTTACAAATACGCATTACTCTCTGTCATGCCATTCATGTCCATTCTGTCGTGTCCATGGATCATCCTTTCCACCTTTCCATTCTCTGTTCTAAATTAGCTGCTGCTTTTACTTGCCGCCGGGTATACCTTCCAGGTCACGACCTCCGAGAGTTTCCGCTAACCAAAACACCACATTCAATCTATTCGCTATCTCCAGTTTGAAAGGTAGTCTGAATGTACTGTAGTGATCAACCCATTCACAAACCAGAACGCTAGCATTTCCCGTGACACGTTCACGCGACGGTTTCCCTCAATTTGAACGAGATATACGGCTATAGTACACTCTACGTGCTTGCCGTACCCCACACGGTCATCCTCCTCCCTTCCGTGGATGGACAGCGTAGCGACGCGTCCGTCACCGACGCCCGGCCGGCAGGTGGCGGGGTCGTCGTCGTGCCGACGTTCGTGCGCGTCAAGCGAGCGTCGTCGGCCGAGGACCTGCAGGATAGCGAGACGGGCGCTGCGTCGCCCGTGCACAAGCGTCCAAAGGCTATGAGCGTAGGCGAGGTGAACGTCGACGGTCTACGCTTCCACCAGCAGCACCACCAGCACCACCCGCTGCCGACGCGCCGTAAGAAGAAGAAGGCGCCAGCGACGCCCGGCGATCCGCCAGAGGGCTACAACTTCAAGGAGACGTTCCGTCGGCTCAGCGACGAGGATCGCGCCGACATGATCAAGATCAGCTACGAGCAGCCGACGACGACGTACAGTGGCGACGCCGACGACAAGTCGCACAGCGACCCGAACCTATCGCCGAGCCGCGCGCGCAAGGAAGACGACGACGCCGACTGGACGTCGCTGGAGCGGTCACGCAGCGCCGAGCGGGTGCTGGCGACGTCGAAGGCGCCGCGAGCGCCGCAGCCGATCGTCGGCGTGCTCAAGGCCGACCTCGACGCGTCCGTCAACGACCTCAACCGCGTCGTCGACGATGACGGTGGACTGCGACGCGGGAAGTACGACTCGGACAAGCGCATCGCCTACAGCAGCTCTGACACTGACAGCGAGAGGAGGGAGGCGGAGAGCGAACGCAGGGAGGCGGATAGAGAGCGGAGAGAGGAAGCCGACAAACGGAGGGAGGGAGACGACGGCGTCGCCGAGACGACGAGCTACACGACGATCACGATGACGGAGACAGCGACGCGCGTGACGACGCGCAGCGACGCGAGACCGCGCGCCGACGTCGTGCGTCGCCATTCCAGTTCGGCCGACGACAGCCAACGCCACGAGGAGGAGGAGGACGAAGAGGACGCTCGAGAGAGGAGGGGAGTCTCGTTCGCGACCGACACCAAGGAGGAGACGACGACTGCTTCGGAGCCCGAGAGCGACGTCGACGGCCGCTCCCAGGTGGCGCCACGCGAGGTCGTCGAGGAGGTGGTCGTTCGTGAGGTGCAGAAGCGCGACAGACCCGTCGTCGACGAGTCGCTGCGACGCGAGGAGCGACGCCGACGTCTGCTGCGCATGG